TACCCGCGGAGGGGCAGCGAGGTGGAAGGCAGGAACCCGGCTCCAGTGGCAATGTAGCCACTGGAAGCGTTGTCTGGGCGAGAACGCCGAGTCTGGGCGTTCGCTGGTCTGCTTCCACCGTGGGGCAGACGGCAGAGAGAGCTCGTAGGCTTTCTGCTGGGGGCTGCCCCGTGGCGAGGGGAGGGGAAGAGACGAGGCACGAGGACCTGCCTCCTCGTGAGCTGGTCTCTGCCCCTCTGGGCCCAGCCGCCGACCGGAGCGACGCAACCGGGGTAGCGTCGCTGCTATCCGCAGACTGGGAAGAGGGGAACGAGAGCGATGCTGCTCGGAGACAGCATCCACCGTCGTTCGGACCCTCTTGGGTGGAGGAGACTGAGTGCCCGTCAGTCTCGACCGAGGATGACCTGGAGGAGGAAGAGGAAACTGCTCTTTTATTGACTCTTTGGGTACCAGGAACAAAAACAGAATGAAACAAAATATTCTCCTGCCGGCCCTCCCCCGGGGGAAGGAGGTGTGCAGGGGCACCCTCCTGAGCAGCTCCGGAATCCTCTACCAGGTCGCCCGTCTCAGGAACGCTTCCTTCCCTCCTTTTATGGGAAGGGGCCGGGGGCATGTGAGCGGGCTGGGCCGCCCTCTTGCGACCAGACTTCCTCACTCCAGGGGTGGTAGGCTGCGCTGGAGGAGGAGCTGGCGCATGAGGGCGACCTCGGCGACGGGAAGCAGCCGGAGCTTGTACAGCCACAGGAGATGGACCCACAGCAGGCCGCCTCCTATGCAGGACATGCCGTATAGCCTCCGACTGCTTCTGGGCGGGGGAGAACTCCTGGGCCAAGTTCTCCACCGCGTCGCCGAAGAGGCCGCCCTGGGATACGGGGAAGTTGAGAAGTTTGTTCTTCTCCGCTTCCCTCATATCTGCCAGGGTCAGCCACAGGTGGCGCTCCTGGACCACCAAAGTGGACATCGCCCAACCCAGCGAACGTGCGGTGACTTTCGTCGCCCGGAGGGCGAAGTCCGTCGCCGCACGCAGCTGCAAGTCATGGAGAGCTTTAGCCTGATGGACTTGGAGCAACGCCATGGCATGCAAGGCGGAGGCGGCGTCTCCACATGCCATCTAGGCATCCCCGGTCAGACCAGAGGAAAACCTACAGGCGCGGGAGGGGAGTGAAGGGGCACCCCGCCAGGAGGAAGCGGTCTTCGGACACAGTTGCATCGCGATAGACCGCTCCACTGGGGGGATTCCCTCGTACCCGTGCGCCACCCCGCTGTCCAGAGTGGTAAGGAAGGAGGAGCGAGGTTGTCTCCGCCTGTACGCCAGAGGCGCCGACCAAGACTTCCTCAACTCCTCATGCACTTCCGGGAAGAAAGGGACCGGAGCGGGTCGTGGGGCAACAGCATGGCCCGCTCCAAGACACCAATCATCCAACTGCGAATGTTCGGGACCCGGTGGAGGGTTCCACGCGAGCCTGACATTCGCGGCCGCCCGTTCGAGCATAGCGGTCATTTCCGGCTCAGCCTGAACCACCACACCCGAAGGGGGCAGTCCCGCCGAGTCATCACCAGAAGATGACCGCTCTTCCTCCGATGCCGCGATCGACATCTGATCCTCAGGTGGTGCCCCAAAGGAGACAACTGGAACCGCCCGAGGGGGCTCCGGTTGCCCCACCGGAAGCGCCGATGGCAACGTGCAGCTAGAGGCGTGAGGCGCCCGACAGTCTCTTTCACCAGTCGGAGCGTTCCTCATGGTGATCCTCATTCGCTCACCAACAGGAATCACTGAAGTAGCCGCCTGCTGAACTGAACTGGCAGACGAACTAGATCGAGGATTATCTGAAGGGACTCCCCCGTGTTTCAGGGTTCTCAGTCTCGAACGTAGCATCGCCAGGGTCATATTCCCGCAATGAGAACATGACTCATCCACCGACGCTGCCTCAGCGTGCGCTAAGCCCAGACACGCGAGGCAGTGTTTGTGGCCATCAGCCTGAGGGAGAAGTCGACCGCATCCAGAAACGCACGGGTGAAACGACATCCTGAAAAGGACGTGAAACACCCGTGATGCTCTTTTAGAAAGAAAAAAGCTCTCTCACACGCGCCGAAGCGCCGAGGGATCACCGCGGCAGACACACGGGGAAACTGCAAGCCTGTGTGCTGCACTCACTACCACCAGCCGTGAAAACGGCTCTTTTTTTTTTGTGAAAAAAGAACTCGAGCAGTAGCGTTGCGCAATGTTTACTTCCGCCTTTTATACCCGCGCTGGTAGGCGGGTCGTGGAATGCAAATCTTGCATGCCAATGTCCATTGGCTCGTTTTTAATTCTCTCGAAGGCAATAGGCTCCCTAGCGTGATCCCAATTCGTCAGGGAACTCCCCCGACGACACGTCGGAGTTCCCAGGACGAAAGGGAACAGCCCATTATGCTGCAACTGTAACAATACTTCACAGATAGGAATGTAGTAGAACCCAGGAGTGGGAGTTTGTTAGACAAAAGGCACTGAAGAAGTAGCAAGAGGTGAGTTTCACAGGTAAGTAAACCCTTCTTTTGTACAGTCTTTTAGTCTTTGGTAACAACTTAGGCATGACGTAAAATAACAGATCATAATTAGAATCCTCAGGTAGGCATAACAGGTAACATAAACATTTGCTGAGACATGACTTAAGGCAGAATAGCATCTGACACACTGAACAAAGGCTGAGGTAAATATCTTGCGGTGAACAGAAAACTCAGGAATCACATAGGGTGCATCTCAATCAGCTCCCTGGCTCCCGAGCTTATGAATCAGTATATCATAAACGGATCCGGGCACTGGTAAGGAGTGGTTCACTATACATTGGGACAGTGATTACTCAGTTTCCGGTGACATGACGTACATCGTCAACGTACAATGCTGTAGAACGTCACAGCTGGTATTAATCAACAACAGGTAGGACCTATATCTTTTTTATATGATTTTTAATGCTATTTAAACACAATGTTCAGTTACATATCCTTACAAAATTTCAGCTGGATATTAATTATAAATGTCAACTCTTTCAACTCAACTCTGTGTCAACACTTTCCCCGCCAGCGTTAAAAAAAAAAGTTGCCAGCCACCGCCAGCGTTTTTGATAATTTTCATTAAAGTTTCATGGCCCCCAGAATATTTAGTTGTATGAATATCTGAACATGCCATATCAAAAGAAAGAACAAACCCTCTGCTTTAAAAAAAAAAAAAAAAAAAAAAAAAAACTGTTTTATTCCAACCTCATGCATTCTTTTTTTTATCAACACTTGAATATAGGTAAGTTTCATAAAAAAAGCAACATTTTAAGCAAAAAAGCTGTGAAAATCACATTTAAGTCTAAGACTACATCTGGATCGGATTCAGAACGATGATCATAGAAGGAGTAGATCAAGTCCATCAACACCTCTAATGCTTGCACAGTTCTGTAGTTCACCCGTCAACCGGGGCCCATGTGAAAACAAGGATAAATGTCTGAAGGGCATTAAATGTAGTCACGCAATGGTAATGACAATTAACAATTTTGATTAACAATGGTGATGACATTAACAATTTGAGAACAAAGTATAATTTGCACGGTTTGACGTGATATGATAAGCGATCGTTAGATTTAATCAGCGTGATTTACTGCAATGCTTTTTTCCCTTAGTTGGTCAGAACAAAAGCGGATGTTACTTACTTGTTCAGATGACATTTTCCGGTGAAAATTCTTACGTTGGTCAAACTTCCAAAAAGTAGAATCTGTGATTCTGAATGACAGTATCCACACCGGCACGGCGACTGACAGCCGCACATTCTCCTCAAAACATTGTGTTCATCCCCGCTGTGCCGCGCAGAGGCACAACCCACGCAATTGCAGATTTCGAACAGAGATGGCGACAAAGAGGAAAAACTACGGACTGCAGCTTTAATTAAATTATAGCTACATATTATGCTTATTTTTTTTAAAAGCTTAAACTTTTCATTGTGTGTAAACTGACACATTTAACTGCTTATCGACTTGTTTTATATAAACCTGCACATTTCAAAATTGACCAACCTTTTTTATTTAAATCTGGGAACATCTCAGTGTTTACCAGCTTCCTTATAATAAATCTGGGAATAGTGTTGTCAAAGGTACCGACTTGTGTATGTGACGAAACCAGCATTTCCCCCAAGCATGTTGAGCGGATTCTTAAACACCTCTGATTGGCCATTGGGTTCACGCGCTCAACATATATGTCTGTAAAAACACGCTTCAAAAACATGTTGTAAATAAATAGACGTCTTTCTTTTACGCTCTTAACCGAGCGCTTACACAGATACACACGGGAGCGTTTGAAAGCAGGCATCTATCAGCGGATCCCTAATATATCCACTGATAGACTGATTCGCTGATAGACGCTTTCAAATGCTCCCGTCTGTATCTGTGTAGGTGCTCGGTGAACAGCGGCAAAGATGTCTATTTACAACATGTTTGTCCCATCAATGTTATAAAAGGCGAAGTGCGTCCAGACTTTGAACTTAAATGTTGCTGGGGCATCTATTATTTTACTATAGAGCGCTACCTCGAGGAGCCATGAAGTAGCAGGGAGCTGGGAGCAGGGAAATCTATTTAGAGCGACTTATTTTATTAATTAAAATATCAATATTTGACGCCAGCGTATCGATTCTCGTATCGCATGGAGAAGGACAAAGGTATATCGCCCTATCGATATTTTGTCCCACCCCTAGTGGTGAGTGAGAACAGGGCAGAGTTCAGAGTGTGCATGTGGCAGCTACAGGTATTTGGTATCATTATTATTTGAAGTTTCGATAACGCTTTAGATTACAGCCCGGAAAGTACTGCGTAATTAAAGCGATTTTACTGCGTAACCTTCGGTAATTATATTGTACCTATAACGTACTTACAATATAAGTATAAGGGAACAATATTTTAAGTTTGGGGAATAAAGGGGTAACATATAAAAATATGTATACTGTAAGTAAGGGGTTCTTATTCTACTTTTATGATATAACAATCTTACATTTGGGAGCAATTTAGCAAGAACATACCTTTTTGAAATAATGGTGAACCAGCATACTGTATAGGCTTTTTAAAAATTACAGGGTACATATCTATGCATTTATAAAGTAATCTTTTTTAACAAAAGTGCACTGAAAACGAAAACTATTGCAACTTTTGCTTAAATATTGGGGAAAGATACTCTTGTTTCATGTAGTGGTACTTGTTACCCTCTTGTTCCATGTAGTTACAGGGTAAGTGTGACATTGCGGGCTGTAAATTAAAGTGATGCTTTGTTACCCTCTTGTTCCATGTAGTTACAGGGTAAGTGTGACATTGCGGGCCGTAAATTAAAGTGGTTCTCGTTACCCTCTTGTTCCATGTAGTTACAGGGTAAGTACAATAAAAATGCATACACAATCTTATATCACTGACTCGGAAACCTTTATTTATTATACAAGCACCACTTACCCTGTAACCACATGAAACCAGATATATTTCCCAGTATATTAAAAAAAATTGCAATAGTCTTAGCTTTTCTTGCATTGAAACATGTAAGCCCAAACTTAAACATATGCACTTTTGCTATAAAAAAAAATAGATATGTACCCTGTCATATTTAAAAAGCCTATACAGTATGTATTGCCTTGGTACACAATTATTACAAAAAGGTACGCAGTGTATGTTCTCGCTAAATTGCTCCCAAATGTAAGATTGTTGTATCATAATAGTAGAATAAGTACCCCTTAGTTCTATAATACTTACAGTATAAATATTTGTTTATTTCTCCTGGTTGTTACCCCTTTATTCCCCAAACTTTACATATTGTTCCCTTATACTTACATGTAAGTACTTTATAGGTACACTATAATTACAGAAAGTTACACTGTAAATTCCTCTTAATTACACAGTACTTTCCGGGCTGTAATCTAAAGCGTTACCGAAGTTTCCTGTGGGGAAAAAACTATCCTTCGAGTTGGGGAACATTGTCAGAGCAGAAGAAAGCATGCTTTCTTCCAGGATAACCTTGTATGTGGCTTGAGTCACGTGTCCTTCACAAAGACAGATCTGCCTGATTCATGATTTTCTCTTATAAATCCAGCTTCAGCTTTGCCCAACACCTGGTCAACTAATGCTTAGACAGAGACTTGGAGAGGCATACAACCCACAGTCTCTTGTACCCACTGTATAATTAATTTGTTGGAGGATTAGTGGTGATCTGGTGTTTTTTCATGAGGCTAGAATCTGGTAGATATGTCTTTGTAAAGGATGCATAACTCAAGCCACGAACAAGATTATCCAGAAAGAAAAATTGCTTCATTTTGCTCTGACAATGTTCCCCAACTCGAATGATTTTTATTTTATTTTTTATTTTTTTTTTGTGCAGGACAACGTTCCAATCCACACAGCCAGGCTAAGGTGTGGATGAAGGACCACCAGATCAAGACCCTGTCATTGCCATCAATCTCCAGACCTGAACTCCACTGAAAACCTCTGGAATGTAACAGGAGGGTCACCAGCCATTTAAAAAAAGCCAAGCTGCTTGAATTTTTTTCACTAGGAGTGGCATAAAGTTGCCCAACAGCAATGTGGACTGATAGGGAGCATTCCAAGACGCATAGAAGCTGCGATTGGAAATCAGGGTTATTCCACCAAATATTGATTTCTGAATTCTTCCTAAGTAAAAAATAAATAAATAAATAGTTGTTTTTATTTAAAAATGAATATAAACTTGTTTTCTTTGCATTATTCGAGGTCTGAAATCATGGCATCTTTTTTCGTTATTTTGACCAGTTGTCATTTTCTGCAAATAAATGCTCTAAATGGCAATATTTTTTATTTGAAATTTGGGAGAAATGTTATCAGTAATTTAGAATGAATTAAAATTTTACTCCAGAGAAACTGCTAATTTTGCAGAGAGAGAGAGAGAGAGAGAGAAATAGATGGAGAAAAAGGACATGGTTTGGAGTCTTAAGTTAATGCACATGGGATCAGCTGAATAGCAGGAGATGTGGACATCTAAATGATCAGCACGAAGCCTGTGAGTTATACCACAATGACAGTCTGTTTTGAAAAGAAAAGTCATCATTTTGAGAGCAAAATCAATAGAGCAACCTTTTAAAAACTTAGAGTATGAGCTGAGCAAATTTCTTTTTGTGTGTGAAAAATAATCAAGAGAAGTGGAGCAAGAGGCATTACTGAAAAGTGTTCATTGATCTTCATTCAGCCTCCCAATAGAGTCCAAGTGTGTTTGACTGATCTGATCTCTGAATCGGGCCGCTCCTTCCCTGCTGAGGAGTTAATACTTCAGCTTGAGAGACAATCTTAAAGTACCCATCACTTCCCCAGGCTCCCCAAGCGACAGGCTTTGGAGGTGTAGTCTCTCTGCTGTAGTCTCTCTGCTGCAGTCTCTCAAACACAGGGTGAGCTGATCAAGGATTTGGTCATATTACACCAAGAATTCTCAACGGACCAGCTTACATTTGAATGATCTAAATCAAAGAAAAGGTTCTGGCCTAGAAATTGCGAAACAAACACAATTGTGTGGAGGCCTTATAAAGGTAAGTGTGAGAAAATCTCCTCAGAGATTTGGCAGATGAATCTTTATTCATCAGTTTTTGAAATTAAATCAATTCAACTGAAAATAAAAGCTAAGCCAGTAGTAGTGGTACCAGTGACTGAATCAATCAATGAATCAATGAATCAATGAATCAATCTATCTATCTATCCATCCATCCATCCATCCATCCATCCATCCATCCATCCATCCATCCATCCGTCTATTTCTCTGAGACATTTTCATCACTTGAATACTATTAATCTTATTAATACCATCATTCTACAGACAGACAGACAGACAGACAGATAAATGATAAATATATAGACAGACAGATGATAGACAGACAGACAGACAGACAATAGACAGACAGATAGATATAAAGACAGAAAGCTAAAACTAAAACTGCTCATAACCATCCACAAATATAAAAAAATATGGGAACAAGGGAATATCATCTTCATTTTCTATACAAAACACGTTCTAAAATGTTATATTTAGATACAATATAAATGTATTTGCACAATAAGTAAAACATTTTAAGAATAACATAAACGTAAAAAAGAATAAATAAAACATTTTAAATACGTTTTTGTGGTTTCTTATCAAATACATGATGCTTTAAGTTCCATTTTTAGTTGTTCTCTGGTAAATGGGCACATGACAATCTAAAACAAAACACTGCATAATATACACATGATGCTTCCATTATTGAACCTTGATTTATGAAAAAGTGGTCATCTTCATCTCGGCAGTGTCCCATAAAGAGAAATAAAAAATAAATGTCTTGGAAACAAGTGCCCTCTAACGGCAGGACATAATATTGGCAAGATCCAAGACCATTCTCAATGAAGCTCGAAAACATGAATGTGTGTCATGTATGAAGCTAAGCAAAGCAATCAACTCCATGTCTGACAGCGGATCTGGCGAGTTATTAAGAGACATTGTATTTAGATGCAGCATTCCAGCATCACAAGGCATGTGACACTATGATGATTGTTTCCTTATCAGATGTGGCTGACAAATTCATACACTGAAAGCATATATAACCTCTATCAACGAACAGAAAAAGCTGCCTGTGTAGAAGTTGTGTGAAGCACACAATACAAAGCAAGTACTTTCCAAAGCTCTTATCTTCCACAGTGAGATAATGTCTCCATCTGCTGGTACAATCTTGGAGGCTACATGTGCAGTTACAACTGTAATGTATGAAAGCATACTATTATGTTATAACAGGAAAAGTGCTTTGTTAAAATAATGTTTTAAATAACCAAAGCAATACTGAGGTTTTATTCTACAGATGTTCTGAATCAAAAAAATAATATTACAGGTGTGTGTATGAGTCCATTCACAAAGACAAGAAGGACATTAAAATCGACATGAAATGGTGTTCACAACACTTTGTAGAGTCAAATAGTATATTTACTGAGTAAAAAGGTCTGAGCTGGACTTGATTTTATCCATCTGGAACCGATTGGATTGTGAAAAATGGTTGTTACGTACCAGAATGAGTCAGGTGGTTGGAGGAGAGTAGTTGGAAAAAAAGAAGGTTTGACACTTGAAAAGACACAACATAAAAGCCATTTCATAGGTTATTGCATTTTCATAGAAGATTATGAAGACTGGTGAATCATGAATTTTGACACACAAAAAAAAATTCAATACGGCCAATTTTGCGCACGTCTGATGAAGGAGGTCAGGTGAGACATAAAAAACAAGCGCAAAGAACGTTTATCCTAGATACAAAATAGCTTTATGAAGAAAGTTTCAAGAATACTCCACAGCATAGAGCAGCTTTTGTATTCGTGAAGTCCTGTGAATGTCAATAGCAATTCCACCAATGGATAATATCCAGTCTCGTTCAGTGTCTGATCCAAAGTCCTGTCCCATAGTCAGGCCAGTTTTATTGCTCCGAAGAAGGTGGAATCCCCATCCAGAGAGATATTTGCATGGGTACGAGGAATCAGAAGTTCCAGTCTGTCCCCAGAGTCCAGTTTCACTACACCTGTACATTACATGCTCAGTTACATTCATTTGTAATTGTAGATACATTACATATTTATCTATATATGCATTACATTTCTATGAGATATTTTTATCACCCCAATACTATTATTCTCAGTAGTTCACAATGTTCAAAATACACAATTAGGAGAAAATAATTATTCTCTCAAATAAATATGATATGACATATTGTACACAGGAACATATTCATCACAGCCATTTATAGGCCCGTAGGCTATTTCTGGCCTCCCTTACTGTTTGAAAATAAATGTGGTCTAGTTTCTGGGTGATTCTCAAAAACTCTGTCAAGAACATGTCTGGGCTATATTGGAACCGAAGACCACAAGTGAACAACATTTTTATTTTGCATAAAGAAAGTTAAGCTTATTTTTGGACCATTAAGATAACTAAATTCTTGTTACTGTAACGCACAAAAGAAAAAACCCACACCAAACAAATTATCATTACTGTAATGACTATAATAAAAATAACTATATTTAGATTACTTAAATTTCAGAGTATTTATACAGTAGCATTTACTTGTCAATACATTTGTTGTTATCATTACAGATACATATACTGTGTATACTTTATATGTATATATAATGTGTATAATTTTTTTACAGTATATATATATATATATCTATATACTGTAATATATACTGTATATATATATATATATATATATATATATATATATATATTTAGAAAACCTGGGAAGTAAAATGTCCAGATACATTATAGTAATTTTGACTAAATGTGCTTAATTGTATAATAATGGATAAAGGTTAATAATACCACAATGCAAAACAAATCGATTGCCCCAAACAAAACAAAAAAAGACCTGGATATGTTTTTGTGAGATTCACCCAACTTTGCACTTTGTAACTCTTTTGTAACACTGATAAAGTAGCAGGACTTTCCACACTCACCTCCAGTGTAGCAGGTGTTGAAGTGATTGACTGGGTTCATGCTCTGAATACAGCGGAACAAAACGACGTGCTGACTCTCGTCTCCTACAACATTTTTCTTTATACGAATCACAATGTGGCCCATAGCGAACGTCGAGTCTGTATAGTAGACCTGGGAAAAGGAAAGCTTGAAATAATGAGGAGAAAACACTGAGCATGGTGTTGGGATGCCTCAAAGTTCAGTTATGAGGCAAAAAAAAAAAAAAAAAAACTCAAGAATGTGTCATAAGTTGAGAATTTATATACCTGGCTATAGATAAAGAAGAATCCCTCCTCTTTGACTAAAATGGTGTCCTGATCTTCCTCCAGAGCAGAGCCGCGCTTTAGACCAACGTGCCATGGGATGGCTGTGCTTAATTCCAAAGCAAACTCTGACAACAAATTTTTTTTATTAAAAATAATTAACATGTAGCAAAAAAATACCACTAATGCTTATCTTTCATATGAACTGCAATATAATATAATATAACATGAATAGTGATACACATTAACATAAATCTGAAGTAAATAAATGGTGATAATTAAAGGTAGGGTGTGGGATTTGCAAAATGCCTGGCAGATTTTGAAAATACACAACTCAAAAGGTCCTACCTTCTTTCCTCCAACGCTGGCCCTGACTCCACCCATTCAAAGAACATGGACGCGCAATCATGCATCTGCAAAACTCAGATGCGCGAGATTGCACTTACTCTCTCTCTCTCTCTGTACCGGGGCAACTTGCACTTACTGTGACTGGGTCACGAGCTTTGAGTATGCGCACGAAGGGGACACGGGGGGGTATGGTATAGGGCTGCAGCTATCGATTCTTTTTGTAATCGATTAATCTAGCACTTAATCGATCGATTAATCGGATACATTTTTTTTTGTGTGTTTTTAAATAACCAAAACAAATAATGCATAACGAAAATGATGTGGCTGTAAAAGGATCAAGCATTTGGCTTTTATTTATAAAAAAAAAACAAAAAAAACTGGTATTTATTCCAACTCCAACATTTGGCTCCAAAACTAAGCCTATTTATTGCATTTTTTACCCATTTAGTATAAGTGCCAACAATGTTCTATGCTCAATTACTTTGGTAGCCGATTAAAATGTCTTCCCCAAAAGTAGAGTGGATTTGGAGAAGCAGGCTGGGGAATTTCATTTTTTGTTGTTGTCTGTAACTATTTGGAAGACGTGACATACAAACAAGGTCTCGCAAAGACTGCAATACAATATTTGTTCCTCCATCACGTCGCGGTGTATACAGTGAATGCATGCTGAAATTATTGTTGCGTGGCTACATAAAAGTTTAAGTATATGTGATGCATTGCCGCAATTCATCTGACTGGCGCGTGAGAGAGACGAGGGTGCATGCGTGCGTGTGTGTGAAGGGGTTCTTTTTTTAGGCTATACTCTCTTGCAATTGAACGTGAATACGTTTACTACTTAAAAACATCAAAGCTAAACATCATATCTAGTCAAACCACATCACGACATCGCTACAAATACAGTACGGGATTAAAATCAGCGAACATCAATGTATCATAGGCTTATGGTGTGTTCACACCGAACGCAAATTTAATTATTTGCGCGAGTAGATTACACAAAGTCAATGCAAAGACACGAATAGACGCATCATTCGCGCCGGGCGTCGCGACTGACGCGAATTGGACTACGCGTTTGCCGCGAACGTCTTCCGCGCAAGTTGAAAAATTTGAACTCGAGCGAATGTTCAAGCGTCTAACTAGACGCGATAAACGCGTATTTCACGCTCTATCCGCGTTCGGTGTGAACACCATTAGTTTACCTTGTTACAGCGACGCTTGGTGAAACAGCACGGAGTGGATGTTTTCGGTTCAGATGCTGAATCATTGAAGTCGTACTGTTGTGGTATGCCAGGTCTACTTTGCAGTAGACACATTGCACCTTGTTCTCTTCCTTTTTAAGTATGTAATGATCCCAAACTTTAGACATTCTCTGCCGTTTATGGACATCTTTACTCTCCGCCATCGCGCCAACTAAATTCAAAATGTATCACGCGCAATAGTATAGATCCCTGCGCGTATAGTGCGCGTCATAGGAATTTAACGAGGCTTCGAGGCAGAGTTTTTGCCTCGAGGAATTTTTGTAATCGAGTTAATCGAGTAACTCGATGAATCGTTTCAGCCCTAGTATGGTACGACCATTTGATTGACGCACTTACTGTCCAATGAATGCTGGAGTTTTTCGAGCCCTGCCCGTTCCACAGATGATTAAATTGCTTAATTTTCATTTCAGTGCTTCTATCTCAGTGGCTGTAAGTGGGTTAGGAATAGGATTTTAAGTGATTTTGAAAAAATGGTCAAAAAAGAAAATCACATACCCCACCTTTAACTAACAAATTTGAAAAAATAAAAAATACTAGCCTTTTACCTGTGACGTGCTTAAACTTAAATTATTGAAATTTAAGTTTAGCATTGCGTTGGACCCTAGGCCCCCGAAGACCTCCTAGCAACAGGAGTGAAAAGAGAGGGCTTGAGTCTCGAGCTAGCCGGACCACCCTCGAAGAAACCCGCAAATCTCACAGCTCCCTGTTCAGCTCAGGCGGCTGGAGAATTTTATATTGTAGCAAATGGGCCCGCAGCTATAGCAATATAGCACATAAAGAGCATGTTTCAAGCACACAACACACAGGTTCCCGGCCCCCTTCCACTAGGTGGCCTCCTACCAGTTGTCACTCTGACTTCACCTGGGGTGAAAGCCCCTCTAGTCAGTCCAACACTCAGTATGTGCACATTGAGGAATGGGGACCCATTCCTCAATATGAGTCAAAACCCTAGCTACAAAGGCTTTGGCCTGGCAAGCCATTCCCGGTGTGTCGAGTTGGGTTATAAACATGATAAAGCGAAGCTACTCGCTCCAGTTCGCTTGCAGACCCCCAAAGTTTCAGGCGGTTCTCGAGACTTCGGTGAGAAGCAGCGTGTGTCACGTGCTTCGCTCCGAATGACAAAATCTGTTAGCAAAAGGGGGCGATAGAATTGGTTCCCCCCGCGCTAAAACACTCAGGGTTTTACAGCCGTTATTTTCTAGTACCGAAGAAAGACGGCGGCATCAGACCCATATTAGACTTAAGGCATCTGAACAAAGCTCTCATGAGATGGCCGATAAAGCATGTTAACTATCAGACCAATCCTCGCGCAAGTTCACCCAGAGGATTGTTTTTTTCACTGTGGATCTGAAAGACCCGTACTTTCACATCCAGATAGCCCCCCATCACAGGCCATTCTTGAGATTCGCCTTCGAGGGGTAGGCTTATCAATACACAGTTCTGCCGTTCGGTCTGTCCCTAGCACCCCGTACATTTACGAAGTGCTTCAGTGTTCAGAATGTTAACTATCAGACAAATCCTTGTGCAAGTTCACCCAGAGGATTGTTTTTTTCACTGTGGATCTGAAAGACCCGTACTTTCACATCCAGATAGCCCCCCATCACAGGCCATTCTTGAGATTCGCCTTCGAGGGGCAGGCTTATCAATACACAGTTCTGCCGTTCGGTCTGTCCCTAGCACCCCGTACATTTACGAAGTGCATGGACGTGACGCTTTCTCCCCTGAGATACCGGGGAGTGCGTTTGCTGAATTATCTCGACGACTGGCTGGTTCTGGCGCAGTCGCAAGCCGAACTATTGATGCACAGAGATTTGATCCTCGGCCATTTGGAATGCCTGGGGCCTCAAAATCAATTTATCCAAGAGCAAACTAACCCCCAGCCAGAATGTAATCTTTCTGGCTCACACCAGAGCACGCACTCTCTATACAACAGCTGACAGTCTCCTTCAAAGCAGGCACGCCCTCAGAGAGTTTCAGAAACTTCTCGGTCTCATGGCAGCCGCATCGCCAGTACTCAGTATGGGATTACTGCATATGCACACGCTTCAGCACTGGCTCAAACGCCAAATGCCAGCCCTTGCATGGCGGTCGGGGAGGATTCGCATTATGGTGAATCGCGGTTGTTTACAGACCCTGATTCCCTGGCGGGCTCAGGACTGGTACCACGAAGGCCTGGCCATGGGGGTGGCCTCCAGGAGGAAAGTGGTTTTCACAGACGCTTCCAACCTAGGTAGGGGAGCGCTGCACGAGGGCAAGCCTGTCTCCGGCCTCTGGTCGAGCACGGAGCAGAGCTTACATATCAACTGTCTGGAAATGAAAGCAGTTTGTTTGCCAACTTGAGCTCTCTGAGAGCAGCGCATATCCCGGGCATTCAGAATCTGGGTGCGGATATGCTTTATCGAGACTCCCCTAGGCGAGTGGGCCTCAGACGGTTCGTCTGATATGGAGTGTTTTCGGCGAGGCCGAGGTCGACCTTTTTGCCTCGAGAGACAACACTCACTGCGCAGAGTTCTTTTCGAAGAACAGGGAAGCGCTGGCCCATTCCTGGCCCAGTCGTCCCTTGTATGACACTTTGAATCTCAGTAATGCGAGGTATCAGTGATTCTCTCCTTCCTACAAGACACGGGCCGTTAGACACGGGCCGTTCCCCGTCCACGCTCAAAGTATATGTGGCAGCCATAGCAGCTTATCATGCTCCGGTGGCTGGCCAATCGCTAGGAAGGAATGACTTGGTCGTACGGTTCCTTAAGGGGGCCAGGAGGATGAACCCTTCTAGGTCTCCTTCTGTGCCGTCTTGGGACCTCTCCACGGTCCTTGGTGCCCTGAAGGGTCCTCCATTTGAGCCACTTCAGTCGGTTGATCTTAAACCACTTTCGCTAAAGACTGCTCTCCTGCTGGCACTGGCGTCTATCAAGCGAGTGGGAGATCTGCAGGTGCTCTCTGTGAGCCCCTCATGTTTGGAGTTTGGAATAGGTGACTCGAAAGTTACTCTCAAACCCAGATATGGCTATGTCCCTAAGGTGCTCTCAACACCCGTTTAGAGCACAGGTTATTACACTATTAGCTCTTCCCCCTTCCGATGAGGATGGGGAGGCTAATCTACTTTACCCTGTTAGAGCTTTGAAGGTCTATTTGGAGCGCTCTGCGTCCTATAGACAGTCTGCTTCGGTGGCCGATCCAAAGGATCTCCAGTCACGAAGCAGAGGCTGTCCAGATGGATAGTGGATGCCATCTCTTTGGCATACGCCTCGGTGGGTCAGGTTTGCCCTATAGGCACTAGAGCCCATTCGACTAGAGGTATGGCCTCGTCATGGGCGTGGTCCTCTGGGTTTCCTATTCAGGACATTTGTGCGGCGGCCGGTTGGTCCTCGCCCTCCACATTTGTGAGATTCTATAATATGGAGGTCCCTTCCCTGCAGGCGAAGGTCCTTTCTGTATGATTAGACTCGACGAGGTCCGGTCTCATCTATGTGTCAGGTCACTGTTCATAAGCACACTGTCCCTTGCTATAAACCAGCTTTGGCTGTTTTTTGTCCATATATATAATCAGAGTCGAGGGTGTCTGATAATATATTAGTATATTATTTTGGGGTACGAGCTTAGTGACATCACTATATATATGATTTAGACCCGAAGGTGTCCAGTCTTATCAGTATATATATATATATATATATATATATATATATATATATATATATATATATATATATATATATATATATATATATATATATATATGAATTCTGGCTTGTTTCTGTGAGCCCAGGGGTCCTGGGCTTCAGTTGCAGCCAGTTAGCTTCAGTTGCAGCCAGTTACTTACGTTTTACATTGCGTCCCCACTGCGTATAGCTACGCAATACGAAGTGACCATTCTCGAAAGGGAACGTACTCGGTTACTAACGTAACCTCGGTTCCCTGAGAGTAGGGAACGAGTATTGCGTAGCCTGCCGCACTGTAGTAACATGGCAAGTTGTTGCTTCAGTTGATTTAAACCTGCTATAATGGCGAATTTGGTTTCCCTTTATAGGCGCTATGTCTCCGTCTACGTGCTGATAGCTGATTGGCGCACACGTCAGAGGCGCCTTCGCCATTGGATGTGCAGTTGCTGCAGCACAGCCAATCAGTGAGTCAGTCACTCACTGTGCTCGCTGTGCAGTTGCAATGCGTTTTACATATAAGCTTCAATAAATCTGAGGAAAGGAGTTTCCCCACTGTGTATAGCTATGCAATACTCGTTCCCTACTCTCAGGGAACCGAGGTTACGTTAGTAACCGAGTACGTTCCCTTTCGAGAATGGTCACTTTTTTGGTCAAGTAAAAGCAACTACCAATGCTCTTATTGGACTGGGACTGGGATTGAAGTTTTGAGTTCTGAAACACATTTATAATACTACGATTTTACTAACTCCTTCAGTACCTTTCTGGAAGGTTTTCTTCCTGTTGTCTGCCATCATCTGTAAGAAGGCTTGGGATTCTGTGGAAGGGCAGAGGAGTTTAAAACACACAAGAAAAACAGAAATGAATTGTGTCCATGTACCGTGAATTTACATGTATTCTTATTACACATTTCTTAATTGCAAGTATTTTCTGTAGCTGTCAGTAAGAGACGAGAATGATTATGGTGGTAATTTTTGCATTCAGTGACTCATAAAGTAACTGGATATGCAAATGTATGATGGTGCACTTTTGCAGAATGTGCATGTTTTTTTTTATATATACATATATAGACAGTGGTTTTAATCTTACACCATCTGTGCTCTGCATCACTCCTGTCAGTAAACACAAACATCCCACAGCTATTCTCAGTAAAAACAAAAAACAAAAAAAAAACCCAAGACAAGACAAGTGCATCACAGAATAAGCAGAGGTGCGTGCTTGCCTGCTTTGTTTGAGACATGCCCCATTGTCCTTTTTGACATGCCAGTATGGTCTGTTGTGGTATCATCCATCTCAGTCTGCTGCAGATACTGTAAACAGACAACCAAAAAATCCCGCTGAATAAAAACAGCTAAGCCAGTTTTTACAAGCTTAAGTCTGTTATTAGCACATAACTCATACAGTAGTCACTGTGTAAGGTAGATGATGATGGCCACCTTGAAAAGGATAAAAGTGCCCAATATATATAAAATATATCTTCATTTAGGCTTATTACCAGTTAAACTAGCTTTTTCCCCAATTAGGATGAGGCATGTAGGGAGGACTTGGGCCCATGTCTTGACTACAAATATATGGACTAATTTTTTTTTCCACTTGCCCAGAAAACAAAACAAAAAAAAACTTAATTTAACACACAGTTACGTACTGTACATGGGGTAATTTTTCATAAAGGGAACAATTTTAAGCACAACTGAAACAGCAAAATAGTTGTGGAGCATCAAATCATTCATTAAGAAAGCAAAAAAATAATTTGTAACCTGCAAAAATGTCAAAAAAGAGGTAACAATTTATTTTAGTGTCCTTGTTACATATGTTACAATGTACTAACAGTAAATTGTGCATAAAATAACTAAGCCAAACCCTATAGTAAGTAGTAATGTTGTTAATTAATATTAGTCAGTACCAACTGTATTATTACACTGTAACAAAGACACCTTAAAATAAAGTGTAACCAAATAAGGTTTTATTGTTTTACTTTCTTGCACAAAAGCCATTTACAAGTTTACAGGACATTTGCTCTCCAAAAACAATCTAATTTTGACGGTTTTGAATTAGGAGTTTTAAACAAACATACAAAACATGGTTAGAGAAAACAACCATAGACTCTTAACTCCGAACCTTATAGTTACTTCGATATAACCCTTGAGATAACTTCCCCAAGTGAAAACTAACTGCCATTTATGAAATGCCTTCAAGTTCCATCAAATCATCAATTACAACACTCTTTAGAAGGACATTTGATGTAAATGCATTGTGGTCCAAACCTCAATTCTGCCTTTGATGTCTTCTTGTTCCTGCTGATGGGTTTGTTTCTCTGCCCCCTTCATGGATTCTTCTAGCGTCCCGCTTTGCTCCTCTCTCTTGCGGAACACCTCGGTCCTCAAACCCTCCACCTCGGCCTTCAAGGCCAGCACATGGTACAAGGAGATCACAGACAGGGAGGAGGTGGTGATGGCAGCAACAACCAGCACCAGAAACAGCCAGGGCAGCCTTCTCCTTTCACCCCGACCTGGACCAACATCCTCAGCAGGCATGGTGGAAACTAACTTTTAGGGAAATGGGATATTAGTGACTAAATGTTGCCTGAATGGCATATAGACGGATTCTGAATAAGCTTTATTTCTTTAAAGATCTCAACCCACCTCAAAACATGACTACAATCAATAATGATCCTCACAGTGCAGTGAGAGGTTTGTACTTGGAAAGAAGGTCGTCTGGAGGTCTTGGTTATGCTTGCTGAATCCAATTCACCTTCATATGGCATGAACCAATCATCTTTATATTCCTTTTGAAGCTCTTAGCACACGTTACTTTCAGAACAGTCCCGGATCAGACCTTTTATACATAACTACCCTTCCTCTTCAAGCTGATATTTGTTGATATGGAAGAGAGGAAGACCCCTGAGATCTACAGTTGATATCCAACTTAGTATAAAAGGCAACTGTACTCACCCAAAAAAAAATGTCCTGTCTGCAACAAACACCCAGCTAACAGTCTAGTTTTTGTATCCCTTTCCTGCCAAGCTGTCCACACCCACAGTATTTAACACTGCAACCCGAAAGTTGCTTTGTCATCACTTACTTTGTTCCGACAAACTGCGTCAAGAGTGTGAAGATAAATAACGGATAAAAGAAAATGTCAGGCTTACTTTTCCCAACCAGAAATTAATAGCACATAAGAAAGTATATAAATGACAGTGACAGAGCAAAACGGAAGTTATTCTTGGTATAAAAAAAAAAAAAAAAAAAAAAAAAAAAAAAAAACCCAGCTTTGTTCTTTTAAAGTGAAAACTAGAAACAGGAACCAGCGGCTTTAAAGTACGAACAAACTTTTTGCAGCCAAGTTATCAGAAGGGTTTGATTTGTTTATTGCATGTCACCAGACAGAAAATAGAAAGTGTGATTCAATTGTATGTACATGAACACATGATTCGAATAGAAAATCCATAGCTCAAAACACAAATGTTGAAAGAATAAGAAAACCCTCCTTGCACATTCAGAACTGAATCTTTCCACTCTGCTATTTACTGTAAAAAGCAAATACAAAACATGAGCAGCGCTTTATATTATTTCATATATTCAGTTTATGAACAAGATGAAATGAGATTTCAACACACAAACTAGCCCAAAAGAATGGCCAGAACATGCCAAAGGAATATTAGTCAAATCTAGTAAACTCTAAAGTAGTATTTTTATTATTTTATCATTTGTCAGCATCTTTGTTCCAAGGTTTACACTCAACCACACAGACATTCAATAAGGTATCATGGCACATCACTGTGAGTTCAACTAAATGACACATTGCAAATGATACATGAATTTGAAAATATTTCCTCATAAGTTTTAGAGGCAGTTCTTATGAATTAGGCCTATACGATCAATAATGACCATTGTAAATATTAATTTTAAAATCAAAAGGTCAATAAACTGAAATACAAAAGTATCTTATGTATTGAAACCACCAAAATCCCGGTGTCTTGGGAACTTTTTCTCTTGCATTGGCTGGTTCCACTTCTTACTCTCTTACAACCGTCCCATCTCTTCATAACTAATAACCATAAATAACGCTAGACATAACTGAAGACATCTAGAGCTCAACTGTGCTACTATACAATCTCTTAAAACACCCACCTCGAAAAGAATCCGCCGAATCCCAAAAGGTGGACTTTGGAAGCCTGACATACCCTCTTGGTTTGAAGATATCAATAGTTGCATGCAAACTGACACAGCATCACTCTGCCTTGAAATCTGTAATCCTAACATTCATAGGCAGTTTTCACGCATTACAACAGATGTGAGCGTAAAGTGCATCAGCAAATGCGCTGACTAAAGCATGCAATAATAACAGACTTGGATGTGCACAGATCCAACACTACATAATGGGCAAAGTTTGCAAAGTCCACCTTTTCTTGGGCGCTCGACAGTCAACCACCAACGTGAGGCTACAGAAAGGACAAACCTCAATGTATTTAACCCCGATTCAATACGCTAAATTGTTCATTGAAAAATTGCCATCATTTACTCTACCAAACCCATTGGACTTTCTTCTGTGGGACATGAAAGAGACATTTCGAAAAATGAAAAATGCGATGGTCGCTCTAGTCCATGCAATAACAATAGATGAGATCCAAAGATGACTTGCGCTCTTTATTCCAAGTCGTCTGGAGCCTGAATTTTGTTCTTCACTGAACCATCAGCTGTAGCTGTTCTTGGAACATTCAAGTTCATGAGCAAATCTGTCACAAAACCAGTCTGAGAGATTTATTCACATTCTAAATGATTCAGTTATAAGTCATATGGACTACTTTCAGGATACCTCACTTTTATTGAGTCCTTTTGAAGCTTTAGGCTTCTACATGTAACTGCATTGAAAAGAGCGACTCATGCACTCTTCAGAAAAAACTCATACAGGTATGGAATGATGTAAATGATGACAATTTTCTCTTTTTTTTTGTGTGAATGTTTCTGATTTTTAAGGGGACTGCAAAGAGTTATAGGAAATGGATGTGTGACTACAGCGCAACAGTCTCCAATGGACAGGTTTTTCAACATGATCCAAACAAAGCAGGTCATGGGCAGAGAAATGATGCTAAGCACTTGACCTGATTAAAAAAAGGGAAACGTCTTATTTACAAGTTGTGCAAATGGACTGTGCTTGGAACTCTGTCAAGCAGCTGTTATGTGCGATTTCACTCTTACTTCCAGAAGATCACTATAAGCCTGAGAGAGAGTAAACATACTTTAGGCTTGTTGTGTTTTGGTATTTTCATACAGTGCTCACAGTGTACTGCAGCCCACATGAAAATCAGTATCGAAATCTATACTTCTCACACACAGCTCCATATGCAAATCCAAAACATGCATGGGATTAAACCACAATGAGCCGATTTCCTGAGTGGATTTTAAACCTCCCGTAAAAAAACGAAGGCAGTGTGATATAATAAAGCTTCAACACATCACGGCCGGCACAGAAGACTGAATGCATGAAATGCCATAGACAAAGACGAGTGAACTAGGATCAGTTGCCCCTGGTCCATTTAACTGTATTCACTGAAAAAGGCAAAAAAAAATTATTTCAATGAGCACTCTGTTTTGTTCCAAAAAAAGGTGTGTATATGTTACATAAACAAAATAAATAAAGAGAGCTTCTCAGATTGTTTAGTAATTTGTTAGGGTTATTCAGTTTAGTAATCCTAAAATCTAGGACATTATGGGAAAGCAGTTGATCATTCATGAGTAAAATAAGGTCACTGGTTAAAATAAATTACATACAGTCATTCCTAAAACATGAGTTTTAAAGCTTTGTAAATTGCAAAAAAAAAATATATATATATGTGTGTGTGTGTGTGTGTGTGTGTTTTTGAAATTTGTAACCAACTTATGATTTTTACATGTATATTTTAAGTGGTAGACAAACGTGAACATTTCCTCAAGCAATGTTAACCACAGACATTATTTTACTCGTGAATTTAAAACCGCTATACTTGATTAGACATACTGTAACTATTTTCAAATTGCATGTGCAGGTGGCTGGGCTTATTGTATAATTTTTAAGGGTTAGTTCACCCAAAATTTTTAATTCTGTCATGAATTACTCACCCTCATTTTGTTCCAAACCTGCAAGACTTTTGTTAATCTTTAGAACACACATTAAGATTTTTTTTAATGAAATCTGAGTGCTTTCTGTCTCGCGATTCACAGCCTATGCAACAACATTTTTAAGCGCTAGAAAGGTAGTAAAGACATCTTTAAAGTAATCCATGTGACTCCAGTGGTTTAACCTCAATTTTATGAAGTGACGCAAGTGCTTTGTTCACGCACTTTTTTTCACCCACTTTATTTACAAAATATTAATCTCCAAAGCGCGTTCACAAGAGCACCACAATGCATGCGTGTTGTGTTGACGCGAGAGTAGAAGATGCGTAAACGCGTGCCGGAGATTAAAATTTAAATGGTAATTTATTTATTTTTCGCAACCAAAGCACTCGCGTCACTTCGTAAAATTGAGGTTAAACCACTGGAGTCACATGGATTACCTTAATGACGTCTTTATTACCTTTCTGGGGCTTGAAAGCGGTAGTTGCTTGCATAGACTGTCAATGGAGGGACCGGAAGCTCTCATATTTCATTAAAAAGATCTTCATTCCAGTTCCGAAGATGAAAGAATGTCTTACGGGTTTGGAATGGCATGAGGGTGAGAAATTAAGTGAACTAACCCTTTAAAAGTGGAAATTGCTTGAAAATGACAAACAAAAAAGACTAAGAGGGCATTCAATTATTTGAGACAGATGCATTTAAACTTAATATAAAAACTGACAAAAGGCTTTAAAGAAATGTAGCCTTCACTACTGAATAAATGATATTGTAAATAATGAATGAATTATTGGTGTGTGATCAATGGAAAGAAAGAGCTTAGGAAGTTGGGGAGAAAAAAAAATTTGTACATTCTTTTTGAGCGGGTCCAGATTTATAGAGCAGTCAACAGTAGTGACTGTTCTAGATTATGGTGACGTTGGATGTCCCCTGGGCCGTCTCTTCACTTGCATGGCTTTTAAGTAGCTCTTTCATAAACTGCTCCAGGGCGGCAAAATAACCCTGGCACTGCCAGGTGTCGTTGTGCGTACCCTCGGGAAAGATACCGAGGCGTTTAGTCCGAGACGGGGACAGCTCGTACAGCTGTTTCATCATCACTGGGGGGATGAGTTGGTCTGATAAGCCCGAGATAAAGAGAGATGGCATACGGCAGAGAGCCACGTGTCTATAGGACAGAAACTTGTTCTTGTAGCACCAAAGTGGCAAGTAACGCATGGGGAAGAAAGAGAACAGCGTGGCCGCCATGTGCGGGATGCTCAGGAAAGTGTTCTCCACCATGATGGCGGCCACTCGATGCGGGTTTCCCGACGCCAGGCGGATGGCCACCGCGCCACCCAACGAGCGGCCGAACAGGACCACCTTGGTCTTGTCGATGTCCGGCCGGGTCATGATGTAATCCAAGGTAGCCTCTGCGTCCTTGTACAGTCCCTCTTCGCAAGGTTCTCCTTCGCTCTTTCCATAGCCTCTGTAGTCCAACAGAACCACATTGGCCTTCAGGTTCACCAGCATGAGCAGTGCGTTCGGCACACGATGGCCGATGTTCCCCGCATTGCCGTGGAAATATAAAATGGTGGGAGCGGTGGCAGGGTTTTCGCCCGTGTAACGGAGCAGGATGAGATTGAGCCGTACACCATCTTTGGTGCGGACAAACACGTTCTCGTGTGGGATTCCCGTCGGCATGGGAACATAAAGACGCGAGGACGAGGGCTGGTCGGGGAAGTAGAGCAGCACGTCCTGGAACTTGTACAGGATGGCGGCCACAGAGACCAGGATGAGTCCCAGCAGTATGAAGCCTCCGTACAGGTGGAAGGTCAGAATCAGGGCTAGCAGGGAGACGCGGCAGATTCCCCATGACCACGCGCACACGGTCAGCAAACACGCCTCAAGTGCCGCCCATAACCTCCATGGCTTCTCCATGGCGGCAACCTTGATGACAAGAGAGTCTCCGAAACTCACTGCAGACGTATTCTGGAGAAACATAGAAGGTCGGTTTGTAAGGTCAGAGATTTTGTTATAACATTTGGTGGTGCCTAAAACATTTTATTTTAAGTTAAGTTACACATGCTACATGTACTTAGTTAATGTAGTTTCCTCAGTACTTATATGTGTAACTAATTACAGTGTCAAGTTAAGGCACCTTTATTTATAGAACGCTTTATACAATCGAACAACATTACCTTAGTGTAACCTAGAGCTGCATGATTCTGGATAAATTGAGAATCAATATTTTTTTGTTTCAAACAGGATTCTCTGAAGAGACAACTAAACAAAATAACATGTTATTTACTAAAAGTTCTAACAAAATGTTAATTGCTGCAGACTTTTTTAAATGTTGAATTAATCTGGATTATTTAAAAAACTGGGTTTGAATGAATGATTAAATAACTCATAAATACTTCAAAATTAAAAACCTTTTTATACATTTGCCCCTTTTCATTACTTCAGACTTACTGAAGTTACTTCAGACTCTTCGGTGCTCCGCTGGCTCCAACTCTGGTGGTTGGCTGCCACGTAAAATCGCACGATTAAGGATATTTATTCTGTCATGTATACTGTCATGTAGGCTATGACTAACTTTCTTCTGTGGAAAAAAGAATATTTTGAGAAATGAATTTTCTGTCAATGGTGACCAAAAATGTTATCAATTATCAAACTTATTCAGAATATCTTCTGAGAATAAAGACAGTCATCCAGGTTTGGAATGACAAATGAGAGTAAATTATGACAGAATTTTTTGGTGTGCAATCTCTTGAATGTATAACTTTGTATACTTTAAATATAATGTGACTATTTTACAACAACCTTGAATGTGGCTCATCCAATCAGAAAAAGCTGGAACTATTTGTATTAAAATATTTGTCTGTTTTGTCCCCGTTTTTTTCTCCACTTATTTTTCCTAATAAATTTCCAAATAGAAAGAGAAAATAAATCAAATGAGACTAAGTGCTTTTCATCTGTAAAGTACTTAATTCACCGGATTATCCAAAAACAGGCATTAACATGGTAAAGTAATATATTCCATTTCTGTTAAGACTCCAGGCAGTAACGATATTGTCAATAAATGCATAAATATGTATTAGAGCCCGACCGATATGGATTTTTGGGGGCCGATGCCGATACCGATATTAGGGAGTAAAAAAAGCCCGATACCGATATATCGGCCGATATTATTTATGTGTATATTATAATACAGTAGCAATATTATTTATGTGTATTATAGTACAGTATACCAGTCAAAAGTTTGGACACTTTCCTATTGGTGTGTACAAACTTTTGATGGGTACTTTACACAGTAGCTATAAACAGAATAAATATATTTTATAAACACGTTTTGCAATGATCACTCAAATGTGGTGATCAAACACTTGTGTGACACAGATATGTAATGGAGGCAGGGGGAATGATAGAATGAGAATTATACAGCTGAGCTGTAACCAAACTAGTTTGCATTGCATGTTATATTATATTATATTCTATATACTGTTGCATAATCTTCACTAATGACTTTGTCTTTTAATTTAGTCATAACTTGTATCAATAAATATATAAAAAGTGTCCCTGAAAAAACCTTATTATCTTCTATTTTTACTCTTAATTCCTCTAATCTCTACCAGTGGAGGAAGAACTCAGATCTTTTTACTAAAGTAAAATTAATAATATCATAATGAAAACGTTTTTAATTACATATGTACAGTACTTTTATACTATTTTAAATAATTAGTAAGGAAAATGTACTAAACGTGAAACTAGGCTACTCTTAATGCAAAATGGCCCTATATAAAGTGTTATAATTATATACATTTTTGGAATATTGCTTGATGTTGTAACGTAGCGTTATAGGCAGAATGAGCTTTAACACGGTGTCTTCACCGGACGCGGCCATTACTGCTCGCGGCGCAACAGCTGTTTACCCGAGACAAAGCTGAATCAGTTTACTGTCGGAGATCGCTCGCGCCACGCATTTAATCAATGTTTCATCAACCAATTGCCTTAATAAATAAGAAGTAGGCCTAAATATAGCAGACAATATAATCAGGACTTCTCAGCTGCGCGCTTGCAACAGTCATAAGCTCACACAATACGTGATAGAGGCTTGTAGCAGAGAAATCAATTCTGTGAATTACACAGCGCAAATCACAAGTACCCGGTAGGCTACTACCCACCGGATGAAGAAGCGTTGGTTCTCAGTCTCCACAGGCTACATAAAATATTCATTTTATTTTATTTTATTTTTCGTGTTCGCATTTATGAGGAAAAAAACATGTTACAGACGCGACAGTTCAGCACTACGGACGTGAGCGCTCTGAAAGCGGCACTAAAATATGCTTTGAAACTTTCACATAGACATCAAACAGAAAGCACAAAACCTTTCGTTTCAAAGTGAATTTCGTTTTGTATTAATTGTATCTTAATTTTAATCAATGTTTCATCAACCATTTGCCTGGATTTAATTTATAAGAAATATAGCAGACGATAGATAATCTCATTCTCGACACGGAGGCGCCTGCGGGTGAACTCGTCTCATGAACCGAAACTCAGCGTATAGACCTGAGAATTGAAATATATCTATATTGAAATGTCTACTTTTAAACAGAACAATTCAAAACGAAAGACAGACAGACTCATGTAATCGTATGAAATGTGCATTTCTCTCTGGCGCGCGCTCACTGAAGATCGCGAGTCAGCATCGTCAACTTCATCTTTGGCTGACACTGACGAAAAACACTTGTTTATTAATAAACAATTAAAATATCTCCTTGCTATATTTGTTGTATTCATAATCATTACTTTTGCCAGTTCTTGTGACAGCTTTTAGGTGCTTTATTGGCAGCGCCACCCTTACATGAATCACCGCACCCGCATTTTTTAAAATATTCATTTATCGGCCATTATAAATGCCGATACCGATAGTTAGGAAAATGCCTAAAATCGGCCGATAATATCGGCCCGCCGATATATCGGCCGGGCTCTAATATGTATGCAGTTGCCATGATATAAAATGACTTACTGACTGTGATATAAGATTTTGGTTACATCTTCCTGCCCTACAATGATACTGACGTACTATGGTATTACCCTCTGATATAATCCTTGCTTGTACCATGGTAGTAGCACCACAGTACTTTTTGCAGAAGCAGAAAACTAGAGCAAATACACATTGTAAGTTATCTAAACACACACAGAGATAAAAAATAAAAATAAAACTATAAGGTGTTTTCTGATGACACAACACAGTGGTATCTGGAGCCCTCAGGGTGTTTAGGGTCGGGACCAAGTCCAGTCTTGACCGATCCAATCACACAGGAATGCAGATGAGGATCAGCACTTATTCATCTATACTGCACATATCAGAAACATTTTTAGAGCTTTTTTTCCAAAATCAACATTACTTTCGGAATGCAATTCATTAAGCAGCTGCTCCACGACCTGACCCCAATATCAAAGCATACAGTAAAACACTGTCACTGTTAGCATATCCGCACTTTGCTTTTCAGCCAGCTGTTGACATCGTGAGAGAAACACCCTGAAGTCCAAACCCAGATGACAGGAATCATAAACACGCCGATGACATATTAATGTTGACAGCAGCTTTTCCCTCTGGACTTCATGTACTGCACAGCTAATACAGCTGCTAGCCATATCTAACACACATCTGCTGCCAGTCTGATTCAAAACTACTCACATCTATCGCATTCTTCAGCGGCACATCTTTAGCTGAGCTTACGAGCAGGAGAAACGGTCATCTATACGAACATGCCGTGAAATAACAGCTGATCCACTGTGGCTAGCAGCAAATCTAGCCGGACTGCTGCTGACTGTACACCGGTGTCGCTTCTAGGAAGTTCCGGGAGGAAACAGCGGAACCTTCTGCTGGCGGCCAACGCATAGCCTATCATTGCTAATATTCATGAATACAAATAGGCCTTTGCACCCAGTAAAAATTACAATTATTAAATTGTATACATTTATACATTTAAAACACATGTGATAACTAATGGCCTAAAGTGATATTTATGAAAAAATGGCTACCTAGATAGCTGAGTCTGACTCTGACCTGTGTAGTAGGTTTTTTGTGTTTACTTGATAAACAGCTATAGAAAAAAATACATGGTGATATTAGATCGGTGCTGGGCAACAAGAACGATGTGCTAACGTGGTCATTAAGTAAAAAAAAAACATGTCATTTATTATAATGCTGTCTGAAAGTTAAAAATTAAACTTGTATAATTTTGTAAATAGCCAATGATTAATTTTGAATGTTCTCTGAACGTTCTGAAGCAAGTAATAAAAAAAAGACATTAGAAATATGTTGGCCAACTAAAACGTTTCAGACCAAAAAAGTTGCATGAACGTCGTATAAATAGCGGTTTTGTGCTAATGAACTTTATTCAAGACCAGCTGCGTCCGAAATCTAATAAATGCTGCCTTTGGAGTACGCATTCCAAGGTCAGAAGGCATCAAGGCACTTCCAAATGCAATATGTTTCACTTCCTGTCTCCTCAGATACCTTCATCTGATCGATTTTTGAAGACAGCATAGAAGCCTATCCTTCGCTACCTTTGATGTCCCACAATCCTGTGCTTTCCATTCTGTGACAGTTGAGCAAGAAAATAAAGAAAAATAAAGATGGCGTCTGAAAGTTGCAGCTGTTCGTAAGTGTGTGTAAATGTACATTTTTTATCAAAGTTTTCCACTTATGATATCATTTCTAGCGAGAAATTACTATTGTAGTAATTAAATATTCACTTAGTTTTCACCAAAGCTCGCTCTATTTTGCTGTAGATCAAAACTGTTATGCTGCCTCAGAGGTCTGTCCGAAATCAGTTTTGTGAGGTACCTTCATGTGCAAATGCTGCCTGAAAAGTCATTGCCTGATAGGCAGCGATGCAACAAGTCAGTTAGCCTACCTAAGTTTTCGGACGCAGCCCAGATAACTCGTTACAAGACATTCGAAATTTGATGGCCAACTAAAACGTTTTAGGGAGAAAAAAAAAAGTTGCATGAACGTTGTATAAATAGCGGTTCCCTTTCGAATGGTCACTTCGTATTGCGTAGCTATACGCAGTGGGGGAACTCCCTTTCCTCGATTTACTGAAGCTTATATGTAAAACGCATTTGCAGCTGCACAGCTAGCACATTGAGCGTCCGACTCGCTCATAGGCTGTGCTTTGGCAACTGCACATCCAATGGCGCGGGCGTAGAGCTAGCTCATTGGTCGCACGTCAGAGCCCGTCAAGGGGGCGTGGCCTTAGCCTATATTATTCCCCAGAATTCGCCATTATAGCAGATTTTACTCCTTCAGCGACAACTTCACGTCTCTGACTTTTTACTGAGCTTTCGCCGTCGAACAAGCCCTTCAGCCTGAGCGTGTCTCATCTCAGCAGACTACGTCTTCATCAGCCGTTTTCTCCTGACGCCATCTCACCTGTGGCTATCTGGCGACGACGCTATATCCTTTCGTTTCGTTTTACAGATATTGAGCGTGCGAGGCGTTGTTTCAAATGCCTCGCTCATCTTGTGCCACGTACGGATGCAATCTGCACGAGGCCGACGAGCACACGAGATGCATCTCATGCCTGGGGATCGTCCATGCGGAGACTGCACTCGATGCCCATGTCTGTGCTGCGAACGCGACTAGCTCTCTCCCGAGACGGCGACGCCGCGTCACAGACTCTTCCTTTTCCAACCGAGGAAAAAGAAGCGCCGCAGCCAACGACAGCCTGAGAGTATGGAGGTCAGCGAGCGCACGCCGGCCACGTCCCCGCGTGCCTCGTTTTCGGGCAACCTGCATGCCATGGCGACACACCTCCTCCTATGGGCACAGTCCAATCTGAGCTCTCTGAGAGCAGCACATATCCCTGGCATTCAGAATCTGGGTACGGATATGCTCTTGCGGGGCAACACTCCCCTAGGCGAGTGGTCCCTGAACTCGCAGACGGTCAGTCTGATATGGAGTGTGCTCGGCGAGGCCAAAGTCGACCTTTTCGCCTCGAGAACCAACACTCACTGCACAGTGTTCTTTTCAAAGAGCAGGGATGCGCTGGCCCATCGTTGGCCCAACCGCCCCCCTTTATGCGTATATCTGTGAGCCCTGCATGTTTTGGAGTTTGGGCCAGGTGATTCCAGGGTCATACTCAAACCCAGACATGGTTATATACCCAAAGTGCTCTCAACGCCGTTCAGAGCACAGGTTATTACGTTATTAGCCCTTCCCCCTTCTGCAGAGGATGGGGAGGTTAATCTTCTCTGCCCTGTCAGAGCACTGAGGATCTATCTGGAGCGTTCTGTGTCTTTTAGACAATCAGAACAGCTTTTTGTCTGTTTCGGTGGCCGATCTAAGGGTGATCCAATCACTAAGCAAAGACTGTCTAGATGGATAGTGGATGCCATTTCGATGGCTTATTCCTCGGTGGGTCAGGTTTGCCCCATAGGTGTCAAGGCCCATTCGACCAGGGGCATGGCTTCGTCATGGGCGTGGTCATCTGGTTTTCCCATCCAGGATATTTGTGATGCGGCAGGCTGGTCCTCGCCTTCCACATTTATGAAGTTTTATAATATGGAGGTGCCTTCCCTGCAGGCGAAGCTACTTTCTGTATGACAAGGCCCAACGGTGTCTGGTCATGTCCCCCACTGCGTATAGCTACGGAATACTCGTTCCCTATCTCAGGGAACCGAGGTTACGAAAGTAACCGAGTAGTTTTGTGATAATGAAATTTATTGAAGACCAGATAACTCGTAACAAAACGTTCTGTATGGCAAGTTCCTGCAGAGTTTAGTTTAATCCCTACATCACCTGAAGCTTTAGTAATCCTGAAGACCTTGATTAACTTCGTCAGGTGTGTTTGACTAGGTCTGGAGCTAAACTTAGGCCCTGTCCACACGGACACGGGTATTTTTATAACCGTGACTTTTTTTACGCTGTTCGGCCGTTCGTCCACACGGAAACGCACTGAAACCGAACATTTTTGAAAACCCCTGCCAGGGTGAGGATTTTCAGAAACGCCGGTTACAGTGTTGTCGTGTAGACAGTGAAACCGGGGTTTTTGCCTTGCGACGTCAGAGTGTGCGCCGTTATCCGCTGTGTTTGACGTCAGATTTGCGCTTCTGATTGGCCAACGTGGCTTTACGGTTAAGGGTTATATCGCCGCCTGCTGGCGTGGCATGCTCTTGATCGCGCTTGATAGCGTGTTTTTGCGTTTTCATGTAGACGGAGACCGAGCATGTGTGGACGGGATTTTTTTTTAAAACGCTGTAGGAAAAACTCCGGTTATAAAAATACCCGTGTCCGTGTGGACAAGGCCTTAGTAGGAAAGTGTATTTTGAGGGCCACAGTTGCCAATCCATGTATTAGAGCCTAGTATTTTTAAAAAGTAGGCTACTTTTGAAAAGTACGCATTCAGAAATAAATTGTGTTTTTCTGAAGAGCCATCTGAGTGGTTTACATGTGAGATGAAGTAGCTACTTATAATTGTTTTTTTCTATAAAAAAGTGTTTTAAATATATATAATGGGTCGCCCCCTCAAGGTATTTTGCCATGTTGAAATGACAGTTTCACTTAACGTCATAGAGAATCCTGATGCTCATTGGCTGCCATCTCTGTGGATACGCTAGTAGCGTGGTGCTGTTTTATGACGCAATAAGCTAAATTTAGACAATGCGACACTTATTTTGGTGCTTTACCAGCTGAGGCAATGGGATAATCTGTCGAAGAAGCAGAAGACAGAAAAACAAAGGTACAAACTAGCATAAACATCGGTAGCCTACAAGGTGGAAAGATCTGATGACGTTGTGACACCCAAGTTGTTGAACAGGTAAGTGAATTAATTGTGTAGGCCGCTCTCTAAAGCTCACTTGTAAATGTAATTTACATAAAACAGATCATGCTGATCCGTCAAAAGATAGCAGTGCTGTGTATAACATTGTGGTATCTTTGTTTAATTTACACAGAGAACAGCAGTGCTAAAAGAACAACAGTTCGTACAAGGTTAAAGTACTTGAATTTGACTTTTTGAAATTTAAGTCCTGGAAAACCCTTGAAAACAGCCATTTATGGAGGTACTTGAATAAATGGTACCATTTTGATTAGACATTTAATAATGTCTAATCAAAATGTTAGCACAAAAAAAACAAAAAAACAATTTGTATACATCGTTCATGGAGCGGGGTTTTTTTCTGAAATGTTTTAGTTGGACATTTGTCAAAATTTTTTTTTTTTTAAATGTTAGCTTCAGAATGTTCAGAGAATATTCAAAAGGAATGTTCCCATAATGCTTGAAGAATGATAAAATAACCAAGACATTTTTGTTTTTTAAAACATAAAAAAGAGGAAGTTTTAAATATTCAGAAATAACGTTTTCATAACTTAAAGCGAACATTTGCAAAAAGTTCTTAGAATTATTTTTTTTTTTTTTTTTTTTTTTTACTGGGTATGACCTGAATCCCCCATGTTATAACCTCTTTTGACTTAAAAGTAATGCTCAAAACGAAAGAGCACCCAGACACAAGTGAACAGACAATATTTGTTATTTCATCAGAACACAACTTTAATCATTTTAGCAGTATAATCATACCTTCGAAAAGATCATAACATGTGAGATTGTTTTATAAATTATTTCATCAAAGTTGCTTGTAAAAAAATTAAATAGGTTACTGAACTAAATCATCTATAATATTACAATATACCGGTAGTATATAATATTATTTTTTTTCCAGTAGTCATAGTCATAATGTTATCTCTATATGCCTTTAAACCTTTGTCTTTTTTTCATAAAGTCATTGCTTTGCACATACCATCACAGCCTGCAGGTGCCGATGTTGTGACCAAGAGAACAGTTCTTGTGATGAAACCACTCCGCTCTCAGTATCGATCTCAGCACAAACCAACCAATGATCTCTGACACTTACAAAAGAGGAGTTAAAAAAGGACACCAACTCAGAACACAAGGAAACCTCCAAATCAAACGGAGACACACATTGTTTAGCATTCTCAAAACGTATTTACAACAGAAAAAACAACTGAGGTTGAGGGCTGCATAGGTCCACAGGATTCAGAAAGAGAAAAGAAAGTATTTCTGCTTGCTAAGTGATTACGCAATGTGGATGCTACTTACACAGCTGGATCAGTACTTGGAAATGACCATAACACATGTGCAAGCATAAAATACATCTTATAGTAGGTTTGGTGGTGTTTAGCGATTTTAGCAGGCATCTGTTACATTCAATCTCATTAGTCGCTGAGACATACTGAATGGTGATTGAATCCCAACAAACACAGAGAAACGTGTTACAAACATGACAAATCTGAGCAGCCACAACGCCACTCTCCTTTAAGGAAGATGTTTTAAAGGAGTTTTTGTCTAAAAACTCGTTCGAAATGAGTTTTTGTCTAACAAGGTGCCTGATTCACACTTGTTGCATTAGTCCAATTATATGTTGAAATTGACATAACTCGAATTGCAGAGCATCACCAAGTATATATATATATATATATATATATATATATATATATATATACACACAGGATTTCTGAGTGAAAAAGCATGTATAATCGTGTTAATGTGTGTGTGTGTGTGTGTGTCCGCTTGTCTTCTTGCTATAACAAACATCCAGAAATTCTTAGCAAAATAATAATAGTGCTAAGCCGTTGTCATTTGCCCATCTCTCTCTATCCCATCTCCTATCCGTCTTTCCTATACCGTCAGGCCCATTTGGAGAAGTTGATTTAGTTTTGTTTGGAAATGAACAGAGAATAATTTCTGATCCGTCTGCTGTTCCGGAGCAGGTGGTCTGAGCTGAATATAGGAGGTTATAAACCAACTAATAAGCTCTCAGGAGGGTATACTGTATCTCTCTGCGCTTTCCTCTAATTATTCATCAGCGAAGTCCTCAGCACAGCTTGCCAGACTGCCCTTATACATCTCAAACAGGGCCGTTGTGCCTTGTCATATGGTCAAACTTTCCTGGTCATGCTATTTTAACTAAAGCACAGGCATAGCATTGTACACATAGCACTGGCTATGGCGTTTCTGGTAACATATTGGTTTTATTTGAAATATACTTATGTATTAATGAGAACATTAGAACATTAGATAGGAGAGATGGACCTAAAAGCAATGAATCAAAGCTGTAATGGTGAGGATATTAAAAGTCATTATTAATATCAAATATGTTTTGATAAAATTCAACAAGCCCAAATTCAAAAACCCTGAACAGCCAACAATTAGCGCTCTGAGTACATTGTTGAAAAATATGAAATTTAAAAACAATGGAAAGAAATTAGCTTCTCTCTCTGTTTTTGACCGATCAGGTCAAATGCCTTTTTATCAGCTAAACTGAGCTGCATTAGCAGTCTGTTTTAGACAACAACAAAAATCACTTTGTGCTTCTGACACCTTAAAAGGTCACCGCTAATGGTAGCTTAAACCACAAAAGGGCAAATGGATTGATTTCTTCTCTTAAAATTAAGGTTACATTTGCCCCAGAGTTGATATTTGAAGTTTAATGGTATAGCATTTGATGGTAATGCATATTACCATCACTGGATTCCAAAAGTAGCCGAAAGATGCTGTCACATTAGCGAAAATTTGCAGACAAAAAGGTCTAATAGTGTAGTGATGCATGAAGCACCACTTACTCAGGTCACTTCCAAACTAAGCAGCTTAATATTGGTTTAATATGACACATTTGAGTGTTCAAAGGTTAACAAATCTGAATCTGTTGCGAAATTCACGTGCGAAAAACATTTGCTGCATTTCGCCGACGGAATTTCGAGATACGAAGGAAAATGCGACCGCATCCCTAATGCAGACAATCTACAGATATTGTCCTTTTTTTAGGCTAAAGGCAGGGAATAAAATTAGACATGGAATGTGTGTGCTCCATTTTATTCCTATGGCATGCATTATGTTGGCCTGCTTTACACAAATATGGCTACAGAACACTTTGTTTTTCTTTTTTAGTTAGCATAGTTAGCCTTAAAGCTAGCTGTGACTGATCTATGAAATGTATATGTATCTAACATTTATGAGATGGAAACACAGGTGTGACGCCTGTCATTTTAACAGGTTCACAGTCACACTGAGGCTTTCAAGAACTTTGTTAAACTCAAGGCTTCGTTTTGTGTGTCACAGTGACACATCCTCATTTGAGCATACCTGTAGAAAAAAAACAACATAAAATAATATATCAGCCCTTAACTTTGCCTCTCTTTCTCACAAAGAAGCAGATACCTTAAGCCCTGCCACCTGAGACGGGCCTTCGTTCTTCTATCTGGAGCCACAAGATTGAGCTCCCCAACTTCCTGCTGACGTGACTATCTTTGTAAAAAATTAACATTGTTTTCACTGAGTTATTCATGCCACGTGAGTCTCTACATGCAGGAGTGTTTGAATGTGTGTAGATGGTGGGTAAGCCCTTTACTGTAATAAGGAATGATGGATCCACTCTGTGTGATTGGGGTAATTTGTCTCGTAAGCTCTGATTGGCTGGGTTCATGCTGCCAAATAATTTGGACGGTACTCGGAGTGAGAGCTCCTCTTTTTCAGATTGTTTGGATTTATTTCTTTAAAACTTTAGCAGCGTAGTCTAAACTCTGGTTCTAACATGCAATTAGAGAATATAGGGTAGAGAATATAATATCTTAATATAATATATAACATTAAAATTGGCAGATATCTTTTGGCAGATTTTGGGGGTGGGGGAGAAGTCTGGATACCATATAACATCCCAAAATGGACCATTTCAGTCAAGCACTTAAGCAAATAACTGAGCGACATTAACGTTCCCAGACCCCCAAAGCTACTGACCTGACCTTGCAAGAAATTACATCATACAAGCAACAAAAACATCAGGCTACCTTAATAAGGTTACAGGATCTTAATGGGAGAATCTGAGTTTGAACCTGGGCTTTTTTGTTGGGTGTCTTGGTATTTGTCTAGGCAGATTTGTCAACGAATAAACTGCAATAGAAAACCCTCGTAATGAATAGAGCAGCATTCAGAGAGTTTGTGATTACGAATAGAAACGAGAAGAACATCTTAGTGGACACACGGATGCAAGCACAGGCACACATGCACACGCACTCATCCATTCGCTCACATGGACACGCACTCAGTCTTGGAATATTCACTTGGATACTGTACATTTAACTCATACGTCTCTGCCAATCCTTTCTGCACAAAGACCCAAATGAAAAGAAAAGAAACATGAATTAGATCCTGTTGTCATCTAGTGCAACAGAAATCCAAACCATAGACACGGTGTAAAAAAAAAAGTGGTGCGAGAGAACTCCGCCCCCTAGAAGCCTCTTTCAACAAAGGCTACGGTGTTGTCCCTTGTTCTTGTTGCTTGATTGGATTTGTCCAGTGTTTGTTTAGCTTGGTCAGTTTGCTTTGATTGCACGTCCACAGTTTCTGTACCAGCAAGTCACCCACGGTCCGTCACGTCACTGGAATCGGCACTGTAACTGCGTTACCGAGTGGCTATTCCGTCATTCCTCGTTGGAGGAGCTGGAGGTGAGGTTGAACCCAGTGGGATTGTGGGATGCTGTGAGAGTGGCAACAGTATGAAGGAGGACGAGGACCAGCAGGCAGAGTTTGAGTCTGCTGTTGCACAGTCTAGAGGCCGCTGACGAGGTCAGGGATGTCCCGTGCTGACACGACGGGTGAGTTCTTTTGAGAGTGCCTTTGGAGCTGTTGTCCGCCCTGCTGTCCCATCGGACATCGCAGCACTCTGTCTCTGCGTCTGAGGGGTTGTCCTCTTGGAGCCCTAGGCCGGGCAAAAGACACACGTTAGGGTCGACGAAAAATAAGTGTTCACAATAAAGGAAGACATCTTTTCAAAATCTAGTTCTTAGAAATGTACTACCTGTATTCATGTTGCTTTCATAAGGTTTGGAAAAACTTTGATATAATATTCAAGAAAAGTTTTAATTTAATGACTGTCATGTGGTGTGACCATCGGGTAAAAAGTAACAAGTGTACACATCTTAATAATTACTTTTTTCAAGGTACAATTTTTTTCTTTGCAAATAATACATTATTATAGGTGCAGTATGAAAATTTCTCAAAATATATATCAAAACAAAATATAAAAGTATATATTTTCTTATAGCAGAAGCAACGCAAAGCAATACAAAGCAATACATCTCTTGCTCAGCTCTGCTCTCAACTCTCTCTCTCCTCTCCCATCATGAGTGGACACACCCCCTACTGCTGATTGGCACTCTCTCTCGCATCATGAGTGGACACACCCCCTACTGCTGATTGGCTCACTCTCTCTTATCTCCCATCATGAGCGGACACGCCCCCTACTGCTGATTGGCTTACTCTCTCTCCTCTCCCATCATGAGCGGACACGCCTCCTACTGCTGACTGTCTTACTCTCTGGGTGCTTCTCAATATCCCTCCTCGTCTCCTCACTCCTCCGTCCTCCATCCTATGACCCGGAAACTAATCGAGCTCAGCCATCTTGAAGGACATCTCAATTCTCTAATTGCACCGCGAGGAGGCGAGGATCGAGGAGTGAGGAGGCTTCCAGAGGAGCTATGAGCGAGGATACACAGGTGTACCCTTTGCGGAAGAGTTTTATCGACTAAACATGACGCACGTATCAATTCTCCTCCCCCTTCACATCTGTCACAATCATTTGAATTTATACTTTACTTTTGTAGTTTACATAAACCACACAACTCACATATTTCAACAAGGTATCTTGCTTTATTATTATTTATTATGAATTTCTTAAATAAACAAACTTTATCAACATAAGGGCAGATCCTTTGAGCACTGCTGATGACGCAGTGAAGTGACGCTCGAGTGATCAAGTATTCCAATGTATAAAAAAGCTTTCATTCAATTCCTCCGTCCTCATTTTTTTTCCTTGCAGCCTTCCCTCGCGTCCTACAGGGGGTGGAGCTGAGACGCGAGGAAAGGAAGCGAGGAAAGGAAACGAGGATGCACAAATAAGAAATGAGAAGCACCCAATATCCTCTCCCATAATGAGTGGACATGCCCCCTACTGGTGATTGGCTTAGTCGCTCTCCTCTCCCATCATGAGCGGACACGCCTCCTACTGCTGACTGTCTTACTCTCTCTCCTCTCCCATCATGAGTGGACATGCCCCCTACTGGTGATTGGCTTACTCGCTCTCCTCTCCCATCATGAGCGGACACGCCCCCTACTGTTGACTGTCTTAAGGTGTGTTCGACATCAGCTGCGGCTGGATGTAACCGATCGGCGAGAGTTGCCCCGTGCAGGCATGGAGGAGCTGCAAACAGAGACGTGAAGTCGGACACTTTCTGGTTCCCGTAGTGACCGCTCACGTGGTGTTTGCGTACTTTACCACAGCTGAAGTGAAATAAATGTAATATTTGCCAAATACACAGATATTTCAGACACATTTTCATTCAATACTTTACTGCTTCATACAGCATCTGTTTGAACAAGAATAAAGTTCAAAATAAGCCTATATCAATGAAGTGGAGTCAACGTTTTTTAATCAGTTTTATTTTGATAAACGACACAATACAACATCGCGACTACATGAAAAGACTGTTTACTGTTATAAAAAAACTGATTTGTGAGCTTTAGTGGAACTAAAGCTGTGAGAAAAAACACGAAACCCACGTGATCGTTGTCATGCGGTGAATCCGGCCAATCGTGGAACAGTTGTGTCATCATCAGAGCTTGTGCAGCCGCTCTTGAGAAGCTGCGCTGGCTGAGTTCTCCGGCTACTCTCGAAACGCTCTCGCGGTACTTTGATGGCATACGTCACAGTCATGTGGCGTCGGCGCTGTATCAAGTCGGACAAAATTTCTAACCGGCATGAACTGTTTCATGTCAGCCGCCGATCGGTCTGCGCAGAGCTGCATGAAGTCGAACACACCTTTACTCTCTCCTCTCCCATCATGAGTGGACACGCCTCCTACTGCTGATTGGCTACAAGTTTGTTGTGGTGCTCGGGTCCCGATCCACTTTCAACAGCATTTTTTTTTTTCATATATTAATCAATATTCTTAAAAAAAATGCCTGAGCAGTTAAAATTTTCATTTCGGACAATTCTGACATTAGAGTTTGTAGGTATGATTAATAAGCAGTTAAGTATTATTGTTAAAATATTATTTTATTTTTCTAAGAGGATTATGGAAAACAATTTTAATAAGGCTTTTTGCTTCACATCAGACATCAGAACACAGTGTCACCCTGACATTAAGATTAAAAACATGCTAATAATGGAAGAAGTGTAGTCAGGTCATTGTATGCATGAATAGCATTTACTGTATGTTGATTTAAATAAATTATTTCTTTAAATAGTTCACATTCTTCATAAATATCTCCTATTGTCTCTTAAAAAAAACACATCATTGATGACAGGTGTTTATGGTCATGTTGTGATGATGACAAAGTTTAGCACGGTGAGACGAGTCAATGTTAAGTGGGATACTTAAATCAATTAAAGGGCAGGTAATTACAGTCTGACCACTCAGCCAGTCTGTGTGGTTCTGCTCTCAATCCCCTATTTATCATCAGTCTGTCTCATTATAGCACAAGCCTGCAGGCCATTGGAAGGCCAAAGCACTCATTCACATGCGTCACTCAGCATGCACCCACTGGGATTAGGAGAGGAGCATATCCTGGCAAACAGAGTTTGTGTATACAAGCCCTATAGTTCTCAACATTCACAGCAGAAAGCCTATTTCATGCCCTCTGTGTTCATAGCCTGCTCATGATCGGCATAATTATTCAAATCAAATGGAGGATAATTTAAAGACAAAGTATTTATTAATCCACTGAGTCAACACAAATTTTGTGCAAATAGGATATGATCATGCTCATTCATCCAATGAAAGTGTAAAGCAGAAAGAAGGAAGAATTGAAGTTCCTGTTTTAGCCACAAGGTGGCAACAGAGACCAAGTGTTTAATAAAATCAGCAACACCAATGAAAAAAATGCTGCCAAATCAGGCAGTTGATGGAGATCCAAATCCAATGTTTGTGTAACATCCTTTCTACTGTGATGCCTTCATCTGGTACTGGTAGTTCCTCGAAGCATAAATATTCCCTTCATTTTACCATAATGTGTTTGTATGAGAAAAGGTCAAACTGCCCACCTGTGCATATAAAACTGGGGCTTCCACCGTAAATGAGCTCATCATTGTCAGGCAATATAAAGGGACACCTCTGCTGGACCTCCAGGCAGTACTTCCTGCAGGGGATCCTGTTGCTGCAGTGCATCTGTGTGGTGTGGAAGAACTGGGCACAGAGCCAGTGTTTGTAGACAGTCTGTGCAGAGAGAAAAGTACAGAAGGAGAGTTGTTAGTGTTTGAGTCCGGGTGTGCATTGCAATTGATTGCATCATCAGTACCGCGGTAACAGTCATCGCTTTAGCTCTCCCACCTATGTATCTTGGCAACCTTGCAGCCTTCATCATTTCTTTGTGTCGCTTAGAGAGTCGGAACATCTCTCTACATTGTTTTGTTTTATGTTGCATTATGTGTATCTTATGTTCACGCACTGATCGATAAATCATGACTAATTGCATCTAACATAAAATTTTGTGTTTATATAATGTTATATAGGCTATATTATATAATGTATGTTTACAAACATAAAACACAAACTTTTATGTAAGATGCGATTAATCACGATTAATCGATTTGACAGCACTAAAATACATATACAGTACTATCACTGACAATCAGTAAGATGGTTCTCGTTTAGAAACACCATGCTATCCACACTGATTTTATAGCTAATAACTGCCTAACTTGTTTCTACTTTTCTTTCATCAAATACATTTTAAGACAATCTTGGTACTTAAAGTGTAGTGTATTTATCCCAGCTTAATATACAAATAAAAATAAGATGATTTCACTGTATAAGATTTATGTCCCTATGTTGCAATCAAAACATTGCCCTGTTTTTGTCGTTGTTTTTTGAGCATCCCAACCAGTGGTGCGTTTCCCGAAACCATCGTTAGCAGTACTTCCTGCAGGGGATTCTGTTATGGTCGCAAGGTCCGTCGTTATCAGCATAGTTCAACGAGTCGATGTTTCCTGAAACCATCGTTCCAACGAACATTCGCAAACAGCATCGCAAAGTTGTGTGGTTGGAACGACAGCTCTCGAGCTGTGGTTAGAAGCATAATTTCTACATTGCATGACATGTGGACTTAATAAATCCTTATCTAGAGCAAAATAAGCAAGCTGACATTCAGTACAACCTGTGTCTTTTATTTAGAATACATACAAATGTCATTTACGTCTTTGAGTTTGTCAAGAGATTTAAAGCACCGTTTTTGAAGACTGCGCATGTGCGAATGTGCTCTACTATGTAAGAACGAGCCTATGATTGAATCTGGAAATAAAGCGAAATAACTGAGAAAAATGAGAAAATATTCCTCTGATACTATGTCTGTAATTTATATCAAAACATCTAGCATTAATTTGATCTCAAACAGTTTCATTAAAATAAGTTATTACTCCACCACGTGCGTGTCGTCATAAACCAACGTGGTTGAACGAGCACTTGGCGACAATATGGTTTCGGGAAACAGTCGTGACTAGTTAGTTCATTTCTTCAACGATGCATCGTACTATGGTAGTGAAAGCATCGAGTTACATCGTTGTACGGGAAACACACCCCAGGTGTGCATTTCAAGTAAAGTGACATAACTCGCTGCTTGACTATCATAGTAACCATGCATCGGTGGAGACATTAACTAGCTAGTCAAAACTGTTTCCCTGAACCCAAAGTAACTTTGTCGCTCATCCTTTCTTCAAACCATGATGGTACAACAATAGAACTGTCGTCACACATGTGGTGGAGTAAAAACTTCTGTTAATGAATCGTTTGCGATCAAATTAATGTCAGAATATTGCTGTTATGGGTTAGTTATGTTTGCTTCATTTCCAGATGTTTGATTAAATCATGGGTTCTCTAATACGTCAAACTCTGGGGTTCAACAGGTATTCACACATCCACACTCTGAAAAACGTTTTTTTTTTTATTCTCTTGACAAAATAAAAGCCGTAGAATGAAATATGTTTATATATGGAATGACATATATAGATTATGCTGCATGTTAAATTGCGTATTTTGCTCAAGATGATGATCTATTTCAGTCCACATGTCCACATACTGATTGCAAACTATGCTTCTAACCACACACAAAAATGTTCGTTGGAACTACGTTTTCAGGGAACACAGAATCATTGAACTGGGTTGCTAATGACGGCATTTGCAACCATAGTTAGCTAACCCGTGGAAGACGTGGAGTGTTCAGGAAACCTGTTATTTTTATTTATTTATTTTTGGTGACACAAGCACATAATTGTCAGGCTTTACATTAAACGTGATTGAGAAATGAGCAATACAATATTCATCTGAGATCATGTTAAGATTAGAGCCCTTTTGTAGTAGGGGTGCAACAGGGCTCCGTTTGTGGACCATTATACATTTGTAACACCACAGCAGGCATTACATTGTTTAACACCAAAACATAGATACCAAACAAGAACAAGATATTAAACCAAAGCCATTTGCTTTGACAGTTTCCTTAATGCACAACATAATATCCTACCCAGTGTTAAAAGACCGAATGAATGGACCATAATGCATTAACAGTACTTGTATGAAAGACTGAGGGGACTCTCTGGCAAGTTTTCCAGCAGCCATTAGTTATAGCTGAGCCAGCACATGACATCATATCCTCTTGCCCCTCAGGAGCCTAATGGAACGATTCTGTAATTGGCTCATCTTACAGAAACATAGTGAAACATTTCCAAACAAACAAAAACACTTTCTTTCCCGCATCACATTTCAAACCCTTTCTACGAACAGGCAACGGACCTGTTGCTGCAATACGTTACAGTCAGCTGACAAAAGAGCGCAGGCAGGTCCTCTACTCCATCTACAACAACAGCTCAGGCAATTATAAGTGCAATGAATCACTGTCTTTGCCTTAAGCACAGCGCCTTGCCCGCACACAGCTGTACATCATGTCACGTCGCCATCCCCGATGAAATATTTATGTGGCGTCACTCGTGTAAACTCTTTAAAAAGCACATTTCCTTCCTCAGCCTTGATTCTCTACTGCTTTGGTTGGCCTGTAAGTGCTTATTAGATTTGAGGAGAGCAAACCTCTCAGCGGGCGTTTGCTAATGCCTGTTCATATAATGAATCCCTCCTGAGACAGAGGTAAAGCAGACGTTTGTGGAGGATGACAGATCACAGGGAGGGGTAAGACCGCAGCCTCCTGTCTCCTCCCCAGGACATTTAAGGCAGGCCTGATTGACATGCAAAGCAAACAGCTTTACAGAGGTGAAATAAGCTTCTGTCGGAGTTATCTAAGGACATTGTGATGCACTCAAATCAGCATTATATTTGATAGAGAATAGAGAACGAATAGAATAGAGACTGAACAAAACACTGGACAACTGTATTACACGTTAAAGATCTCAACGCTGTCAATATTGCTTTCGCAGTTTTACCAAGAACGGTCTCTTAGACAGGAAGAGGAAGATGTAAAATGACTGAAAAGAGTTTGGATTGTTTTTATGTGACGTCTAAGTGTGGAGAAACCAGAAATCACAACGGTGACAAACTGTGTAAAAAAGTAATTCAAAATCTCTGTTCCAAAATCCAGGGAGTTGCCTTGCTGGTTACCGCTTATTTAGGGAGCCGTCTTTTAACGCAGCAAGCTAAGTCACATGGAACGTTGTTTGCGATTGATTTGGAGTGTTTTACATGATGAAAACAAATAGCACTACACACATGAAGCACACTGGAGACATGGCCAAATTCCCTTTAAGGCAAGTCAATTCATTCGGCAGCCATTTTTGAAACACCTCTCGAGCAGCTATTTCAGTCATGCATTTACAGGTCCTATATGCGTATGCGCTTTGCACATACATATATTTCGTAAATTGTAAATTGATAGATTTCTTCATTGAATTAATTATTTTTATAAACAACATTTCTCCTAACCTGAATAGTTTCTGTAAAATGCTGCCATTGCAAAAACAATTTGATAACTTAGAGGAAATGGAAATATTTGCCACAATGACGTCTTTCTACAGTAGCCCATTCTTCAAAATATCTTCTTTTTTTAAAAAACAATTTGAGGGTGAGTAAATGATAACAGAATTGTCTTTTTTGCATGAACTATCCCTTTAAAAGCAAAATGCCATTGTTTCAATTTAATTTGTTAATATTTATTTTAATATTATAACTACTTTTGTGAATGAAGGAGCAGTTTTGGCAACTATCCTGAAATTTCACAGGTAATGTTCTTAGTTTCGTGACAACCTTAGGGCCAAAAACACAGAATGCATTTTTGCTGTAAAAAAACAAAAACAAATGCAAGGTTTAGAGATGCGTTTTTAAAAAGTTCCAACAGATGTGAGACGTGAGTGCAATGGTTAAAGACATCCATCTAGCCTGTTTACATTGAAAAACAGTGTAAAAGTACCACAGTGGAATGGAAAAATGCGTTCTGTGTAAACGGCCCCTTAGTGATGAATGATGGGTGAAGTGTTGTGACAGTGACGGACAGATAAAAAAAAGAAAAAGTGTATCAGTGCAGTGAGATGATAGCTTCACACATACTGTAGGCCCCAGACAGTCATGCTCACTTAAGATGGGCACACATGAGCAGGGCCCTGGAGACTGCGAGCGTGGCGACATGCTGGTGGCATTTGGAGCTGGCACATGATGACATTAATCCAGAGCTCATTTGCAGTGCTACAGTGTGGTAGGCCTGCGCGTACTGACACAGAGAGAGAGAGAAGCTAATTCCTGCAGATCTGCAGAGACTGGGCATTTTACACACATAGAGCTTTTAATGTGTGAATGTCACATCCTTCATCTGGATTCTTAAAGGCCCATTGAAGTGCCTTGAAACGTGCAGCGTTATTCAATGTGTTGACGTAATTTCCACTGAAACAGGAAGACAAGGTGGGAGATATCAAGCAGCTTTCGTTTATATCACAGCTCGGCCCAGAGCTGTTGAGCCTGGTAAAGCCGCATTTGACAGCTTATGACAGCCACAGTCTAATAGATTACCTTTTAGATCTAATATGAAACTGTTACTAAAGCAAAACAGTGAACATGCTGAGGGTGTGTAGTTTGAAAAGTGTGTAATTTATGTTGGTGAATGGCACCAGTTTTTTCTCTTCTACTTGTCAGTGCTGTTTCTAATGCCGAGTCTGTCTAACCATTTCTCCTCCAAATCTCCTTCATATCGCTATAAAATATCATTCTGTGTAAAATTGATACATTTT